AAATGCAACTTTCTGCATTTGGGGACAGGTACTCCTAAGCACTGGTGTCATTAAGTCACCTGGTCTAAAGCAATCCCTCCATTACATAAACCCTTGGAAAAGAACTACTTTTTTACATCCCAAAGGTATGAAAGTGCCTTCTGAGTCGGGAGAAAAGAGCCAATTTTGTACTGTGAATTCTTGTTCTCCATGGCTCCTTGATGCTTTTCTCCTATACTGCTGTAAGACCCATTTGGTTTAGGTTTCTGCCATGCCATACATGCAGACAGGGATGCCCAGAGATTCTCTCCTGCTGAACTTAACTTTTCTTGTGATTTACCAGTGTTCATTTTTTACTACAGTTGAGAGGCTTACTGTTATTTTTCTGGTCTAAATCTGGGAAAAAACAGAATTGTTCCTCTTAGAGGAATTAATTAAGAGTTCTTGACTCTAACTGTTGTCCTAAAGGACAGGTGCTTTCCCAAACATTTCAAAAGCCCCTCTGAAAGCCATGAAAAAGGTAGACTGCCGGTCTTCGAGTGGTCATCTGTGCATTCATACATACAGGCTTTGTGCCTGCACAAAAAAATGCCGAAATCCCCAACCCGGTCCAGCCCTTACCACCTGTGGTGAGGGGACAATTGTTGAAGGGACTACAGCAAGTGGGGCTGGATGGCAGGTTGCATGAATGTATAGATGACCACTCGAAGAACGACATACAGGTAAGCAACCTTTCTTCTTTGTGGTCTCTGTGCACTACACATATGGGTGACTAGCAAGCTTAGCTGGTGAAGGTTGGAGGGCTGTTGTCACTGGAGGACTGAGCAGTCTTCCCTTGTAAAAACATCCAGGTGGTAGTGTCTGACAAACACTGAGGGTGTGAACACATGGCTGCTCTGCAGGTATCTTGCAGGGGGATCCCAGCCAGGAGGGCTATGGACGTGGCCAATGCTTGTGTGGAGTGGACCTTAGGTCATGCTATTAGGTGGAGGCCTGCCATTTTGCATGCCAGGCAGATGGTTTTAGTGACCCAGCTAGACTGTCTCTGTGGGGACAGTGGGTCTCCTTTTTTCTAGCTACCCTAGTGGACAAACAGCCTTGGTGAGTGTTGAAATGGCTTGTTCTAGATTTGTAGAAGACAAGTGCCCTCCTGACATCAAACAGGTGGACTCTATCACAGTATTGCGGGGTGGTGAAGAAGGCAGGGATGATGATGTCCTGATTAAGGTGGAAAGATAAGATCAATAGGGAGATCTGGGCAGAGGACAGCCTTGTCCCTGTGGAAGGTAAAGTATGGTGGGTCAATTCTGAGAGCACAGAGTTTGCTGGCATGATGGGCTGATGTAATGGCCTCCAAGAAGGCAAACTTCCAGGAAAGGAGGTATAGATTTGCTGTCGTGAGAGGCTCGAAGGTTCTTTTGATGAAGGGCTGTAGCGCCACTGATAGGATCCATGCTGGGGTGCAGGGTCAGAAGGAGGGAATAAGGTTTTAAGTCCCCTCGTGGTAGGAGTTTTGCAAAAACTGATGCCCCATTGACTGTTGGCTGAAAAGAGATGGCCACCAGGTACACATGACTCAAGGAGGACTTTAGGCTCTTCTGAAGATGTGTCTGCAGAAAATGCAGGATCTGTTTGATAGTGGGGAAGGCTGTGAAACCATTCAATTTTGCCAGGTAGGACCTTCTTGTGGATGGCTCAAGATCTGTGTCTAATATAGATGAGACCTCTGGCGGTAGGGGCACTCTCCTCTGCACTAAGTGGTGATACTCCATGACATGAAATACAAAGGCTCTATATGTCTGGGTGGAGAACTTCACCCCAGTCCTGTGAGATCTGGTTCTGGCAGTGTGCGAGGCAGGTGAGGTTCCGCTGGGAGAGATGGAGGAGACAAGCAAGCCATGACCTTCTCGGCCACCATGGGGTTATGAGTACGCAGTCAGTCCCATCTTTCCGGATCATGGTGATCACCCTGATGATCATAGAGAATGGTGGAAAGATGTGGAACAGTGTCCCACTGGAGGAGGAAGGCATCTCCCAGGGAGGCAATCTCCTGTCCTGCCCAAGAGGAGGCGAAGCGGTACACTGATGGCATCCCGCGGCTGTCAAGGAAGTTGCAGAGGACTGCCTCATTCAGCTGTCACTTGTGCAAGTTGAGAGATAAGTAGCCAAGGGCATCTGCCAGGATGTTCCTTTTGCCCACCATGTGAATTCCTGGTAATCTGAAATGTCTCTGGTGATGGACCAGTGCCATATGTCAAGTGCTAGTCTGGGTGAGTGATATGGATTGTATGTGTCCCTGCTTGCTCATACAAAATATTATGGCTGTGTTTTCCATGATGATCTGGACAAGTTGACTGCGCAGAAAGGTTTGGAAAGAGATAAATGCCTTGCAGATTGCCAGTATTTCAAGAAAATCTGCTGGCCTCTTGGCAATTCCACGATCCCTGGGTTTGTAGGTTACTGCAGTTTGCTCCCCAGCCTGTCTTAGACACTTCTGTGGTGACAATGATACTTAGTTCTGGATCCCTTTTCCAAGAGATGGTCCACCACAGTAGGCTGTTCTGGACAGGTGAGATGTCCAGGAAGTGCTTTGGGGGGTTGTCCTTGGTGCAGTAGATGTGGATGAGTCACAGCTGAAGGGAGTTCATCCACAGTCAGGCAGGCAAATCACTGACACTGTGGTGGCCATGAGGCGGAGGAGCTTCTGCACATGATCCATGGTGGACACTCTTGAGCTGTGCAATGCTGCTGCTCTATCTTTTGAGAGGAGGGCTTTTGCTGAGAGTTGAGGCAAGCCCCTATGAAAAGGATGGACTGGTGGTGGGGGAAGATTTTTCACAATTCAAACACAGTTGCAGGTTTTGCAGTAAAGAGCAGTGGGTGCAGATCAAGTGTTGTTGGTCTGTTAGACTGGGTTATCAGGAGCCAATCATCAAGGTATGGGTGGATTTGTACTCCCTGCAGCCAGAGCTGTGCACAGACCATTGCTACACATTTTTGTAGACCCTGGGAACAGCTGAGAGGCTGAATGGGAGGACTGAGAACTGGTATGCCTCCTCCCCAATTTGGAAGTGAGAAAATGTTGTAATCGTGGTGTACAGTTATGTGGAAATAGGATTCCTTGAGGTTGATGGAGGCAAACCAGTCTCCCTGCTGCAGTAGGGGGAGGATCCTCTGCAGGGTGACCATTCAAAATCTCAGAGTGATAAACCAAATGACACCTCTGAAGTTCAGGAATGGTCTGCATCCCCCATCCTGCTTTGGTACCGTGAAATATTAAGAGTAAATATCTCTGGAAAGGTTGGAGTGGATTCTCTCAATGGCCCCCTTAGACAGGAACTCAGTGACCTCCAACAGTAGTGCTAGGGAAGGGGTCATACCTCTTATGGCACTGAGAGGTGGGAGGGTGTCAAAAACAATCCTGTAGCCTCTTTCCATGATGGGCAAGACCCACAAGACCGGTACCAGTAGCTGTCCAGTATTGAGGCCTGGTGTCGACCAAGTGCTGAGGGGTGGCAGTAGTGCAATGCTGATGGTTAGCAGCTAGTGTATGGCTTGTCCCCAGTGTTGAAAGTCAATGTCAGCCCAGCATGGGAGTCTGATTCCAGTGTTGGTGACACTCAGCACTGGGGTCTTGGCATCAATAGTTTTGGTACCAAGGCCTGGTATATCCAGTATCAAGAGTAGCAACTGCTGTCACTGGATGATCTGGACTTGTCCCTGGAGCAGAAGGATGCTAGTGACAAGTCTGAAGCACAGATCCAATCAATAAGGGAAGAGCAGGATGGACCCCAGTGTTCCCTAGCCTCCCAGTGTGGCATGGAGGCTCGTGTGGTCAGTCTCCAGGAACATCAGGGTCAGCTCCCAGGAGAGTCCTTGGCCCAATGTCCAAGGCGACTGGCAGCCGAGCAACTCAGTAGACTGAGCACCTGGCTCTCCTTCCAGCACAGCAGCAGTGTCCTCCCTCATCTCTGGGGAGCAGAAGTGATCAGCAGGCAATGGGGACTGGATGGTTGGGATCACTGGTCAATGGAAGCTCAAGCTGTGCCTTCTCTTTTGTTTGGGCACAGCAGAGGTAGTGGCCATCTTTTTCAACTGGCTGCATGGTCAACCAGCGAAAGACCCTAGTGCAGTGATCATGTTTTGGCCAAGGGTGCTCTCATTGCCAAGGCAGAAGGACACTCCCATCCTTTTCTGGAGCGGTCCTTCACCTGGGGAACCACTTCCAAAGTTCAGCCTTAAGATTCGGAGTCTGCTTTGTGAAGGCCTGGCACTGAGTACAGGCCTCCACAACGTGTCCCTTGCCCAGGCAAAGGGAATGGAGGCTGTAAGATGGAGGCAGCTTGCTTTCACAAGTAGCACTGCTCCTAAAAGCACTGAGAATGCCATCACAGAACATGGGAAAGGAGGAAGAGACAGAGGCACAGGCAACTCTGGTGAAGACATAAGAAGTTGTGGATAAGAAATCAGATAATTTTTTAAAAATTTATCCTGGAGCAAAAGAGTGACACAAAGGTTCATTGAAGGAGCAAAGGGATGGAGAGAGATTTGTTTTAGGTAAGCAGCAGGAGGAAAAATGAAAGAAAGAACTTTATATACTTATGTGGAATCTAGGCACAATGGTGGTTGAAAAGGAATTGAGGGAATGGGTGGGAGCTTCTTCCCGTAAGACCTGAGAACAATAAGGGGAGGTTCTCTCACCCAAAATGAGCACTTAGCTATAGAAGCTTCCAGACAGTAGCCTTTGCACAGGCACAAAATCCACATGTGTGAGGCACAGAGACCACAAAGAAGAAATAAGAGCTTGCAGGATGAAATTTCCTTTTCTGCATTTCTTACAAAATAGTATCTTTATTTTTTCAATATAATCTATTAAGTACTGAGGCAGCATGCAGTCTCACAAGCATATGTCACCCCTATTTTTATTTTCACTGTTTCACTGCTTCACCAGTATTTCAGTAGAAAACAGAGGGCAGCAAGATAATAAAGCCACATGCAAAGAACTGCATCATAAATTATACCTGGAGAGGCTTGGGATTTTGATCAACAGGAATAATAAGAATCACGATTTCAGATTCAATGCTGAAATATCCAAACACATCACACTGTGGTACTGAAACATGGAGGCGGATTTTTTGCAGTATTTCAAGTACTATGATTGGCTTTTTGTTGGATATCTGGAAGAAGAGCAACATTTCAGTACTAATGGGAGTTTACAAATTTGTGTTTCTCCGCTGTCCAGCACAGTTTCCATTTGAAAACAGAAATTCCTTAAGTGATGATCACACTTTTCTGACAGAATTATATGATCAAACAAAAGCAGATAGCAGAGAAGTGGCAAGTGGCATGATGTTAAAAGTGATTATATTCACACCATGTGGCAAGTGACCATCTATAGTTACTTCATGTTATAGACATCTTTAACTATTGAGTCCTGCAGTCCAGTGGCCTCGTTGCATAAGCAAGGCTTTAAGCATACAGGAGGCTCCCTTGCAGAATAAAGTAATTATTAATAAATAGGAAGCTGGCTTCTACTGAGTCAGACTATTGGTCTGTCTAGCTCAGTACTCTTGACACTGACTGGCAGCAGCTCTTCTAGGTTTTGGGTGGGAGCATATGTTCTATCAATGAGCTACAAACTAAGAGCATACCTTTTACCTGGTTATTTCTACCCCATTCTCTGCCCCCACACCATGCAGAGTTTAAAATTCCTTTGAATTCCTGCACAGTATGCTGGAATGCAGACATAATATTGTAACACATCTGAGCTTACTCACCCTGCATTATGAGCTTACTCACCCTGGCAAAGATATCCAGCTTTTCTTTATCATATAAGACCCTCAGCATTCCTGCATACAGAGGACAGCAAGCTCCTGTACAACAAACAGACACCGACTCCCAGAGTGAGACTGAGACTTGCAGAAGGCATTTATGATTTTGTGGCTCACCTTGTATATGATATGTGTACATAGAAATGCCACAGAGACAGAGAAGCCTACTAGATCAGACGGAAGGCCCCCCTACCCACCCTCTGATTTTCTATAGTAGCCACTGTCAGGGCTTAGAGACACAAACAGAAGTAGACATCTGAGCAGCAGTGTTTCATAATCCATGAGTTTGTCTAAATCTTTTTAAAAGCTATCTAAACAAGTAGCTATTATCATGTCTTGTAGCAGTTAATTATCATTGTGTGAACAAGGAAAATACACATTTCAAGGACAGTGAATATTTGATAGTGTTTTGGTTTTACACCAAACTTGTATGGCATTGTTTCACAGGACCAGCACTCTTCTTAATAAGACTGCTGCCAAAGTTTACTTGAATTACAGGATTTAGGTAGCAGGGTGACAAGACAATGATCCCCAGATCTGTGCATTTGGTGTTTTTCCACATGGATGGCAGGAAACCTGCACTAAAAGGGCTCTGCCTGCACACAGAAACCAAACCATAAATGGACAATTAATAACTATGGATAAATTTAGATACATTTAAGAGTTGTTAAAGTGCAGATTGTTTATCAGCAATTCTTCCATACACGTGTCAAGTGTAAAGCTGCTCAATTTCAAAATGGCGCAGCCTACTACTTTTCAACTGAACTGGAGATCTCTATCAGTATTCTCACCTGGTGGAATGATTGGTTTGTATCCAGTTGCTGAAAGATGAGGACATGTAACAGACACACATTCTCCTTGAGTACTGTAGTCAGAAAGGACTCCTACAGCTTGACAAGGTCCACTGTAATCTATAGCCACACGGTCAGAATATGCAGCACACACATTGCTGTAGGTTTCACCATTATGGCCGCACACCAAATCAACTGATTTGCAGAAGGACTGAAAAAAGGAATGATTATAGATTTACAATTCCTTTCATAATTCTGAAACAGACAGCATTTTTGTTCTAACAGTACAAGCTACACAATTATCTTCCAGCACTAGACACTGGGGGAATGAACAGTTACCCAAATGTATAGTCCAGTAAAACTGACGTCAACAAACAGCACAGAAGCAAAAAACAATGTGCAATGCTTCACACACACATGCTCTTTAGCCTCCTAAGTGCTTCAGATAAATTTGTTCCTCCTGATGGCAGTGAAAGTGCATCAGCTATATATAGTCCTGCCTCAGAAACATATTTCACATACTCAAGCAGATTCACACAACCATACATGAGATAAGTTGGGTAGTCTTGCAGTGGATATTCACATGCATTCAAGTCTTACAGCTGGCATGTTGCATGCTATCTCACATTCAGAAGTATTCCAAATTGAAATTCCTGGTCCCAGGTTGGCTGGCAATCTAACTATATAATGAATGATCACAAAATGAGGAAGCATGTAGGCACTTTCCAGGAGGTGACTTCAATAGGCCACATCTTGGAAGAAAAAGCAATCATGGAGTCATTACTTTACAATTCCTGTTCAATTTATATAGGATTTGTAAATGCCAAAAGGTCACAATATTTAAAAATTAAAAACAGAACAAATTACTGACTGGAAATAAAGTCTCAGATTATGCTAGAAAGGAATGAGAGGGAAAATCTATGACTCTTCCAAGCATACCATTGCATTCAAGTGCAGACTTCCAACCAACTTTCTCCTCAGCAGAATGAACGCTTACAGCTTACATATTATAAGATTAGCTGATGACATAATGCAAAAAGCATACATATCTTCATTTATGCACAGCAGGGAGCCACAGTTGGTCTTTGATGCAAGTCATGTTAAAGAATCTACACATAGTAATAATAATAAAGCCTCAGAAAGCGAGCAAGCAAGATGCCAACATGAAGTGCTTTACTTTACATTTGTCTGCACAAAGTGGAAGGCAGCAATCCTTGAATGCTATCCCCTCCCTATGTAAAATCCTCCCTGCATATATAAAATCAACATGTTTTGTAGATGTAGGGAGAACCATTTCTGTGAAGGAGTCCAAAATGGTAGCAGGTAACATCAAGTGTGTCATCCGCTTCTCTGTTTTAGCTTAGCATCCTTTTTAGTCACCAGTACTGTTTGAAAGAATCCTGTACTTGGGTTGAAGTAGGAAGCAAGGTGAACAAAAATCCAAATCCTCACTGATATGTCCTGCTACTGTGAATGTAAATTCACTGTTTTTAAATAGTGCCTTTTAGAGACGATTTGTACAATGTCCATGAGGAAAAAAATATTAGAAAATAACTAGATGGTATATTTACATGGAAGCTTGCACTACTCTAGAAAGAATTACAGTTGCTACACAAATTAGTGAATATTCTAATTCTATCTGTAATATACAAATGTGAGAGGCAAACTCACCTTTTTAATGTTTGTGTAAGCTGGGCTAGTTGCAGCTCTCTACAATATGTACATATGCTCAAAAAACAGGCTTGTCCTGTACAGTATTCCAGGTACATCATCGGAACATATAAGATACAGGTACATACCTGTTATTTTCACAAATACTCTGTCGTCTAAACTGAGGAAGAAATATGAAGGAAAACACCTTGCATCTTGCCACAGAAATTTATCTTCTAAGCTTTTAACATTACCATGACAAAAATTAAAATTAAGATGGAGTGCTGGGCTTGCTGAATCAATAGATCTAATACCTAGAGCCTCACAGGGTGTGGGCCATCATCTACATCGCCCAGCACTGCAGATGACATAGTCCAAATCAGTGCCCACAGAACGCATCACTCTGCACAGACTGATCTGGTTCTTCCACTTATTCACATTTCACAGAGGAAAATAGGCATATGAAGAAAGACAAAATGGGGAATGGGAGAGGGAGGGACAAAAAACCCTGTTCTAACTGGGTCTGTCTTACCAAGTGAAACAGTAATTATAACAGGTAAGCGTTTGAAAAATTACTCCATACCTGACATGGACCATTGTAGGATACACTTTTTCCTTTTTGATGCAGAGCACACAGATTGTTATATTCTATATTGTCTGTGTCACACACAGGATCTCTCAACTGGTCACCACAACTGAATTGTCTGGGCATACATTCATACTGGTTACAGCCAAACTTCTCAAAGCTGGTTAAGCAAACCTGAGGCTTTGGTATACATCTGATGAAATAATCATTTTCATACTTAAGTTATTGCTTCCAAAACACAGACAGACAGAGAGGCAGACAGATGCCAAGCTAATTTTATAAAAAGAAAAACTGTTCTTCAAAGAGAATTCTATGAATTACATATGGAAAAACATATGCAGATGCATTACAGATACAAAACAGAAGAAAAAGCAGTAGAAAAGGACATCCTTGTCCTGAAATGGTTACTATTTTCTTTAAAATGCAACACAAATGTACCTTAAAATACAACAATTAGCCCAGATTCCAGAGAAGGCAGGTTGTTTACCTGTAACTTTTGTTCCTTGAGTTGTCACAAGTACATTCACACATATCAACTCTGAGCCTGCATGGACACTGTAGTGAGGAAATTTTTACACCTAAGTGATTTGGCAGAACCCTTCCCCCACCTTTGGCATTCTGTACAATATAAGGATTTCCTGCCCCATCCCTCCATTCACTCAAGACCGACATTGGGGCCTCAGATCAAGGGAAGATCTGATAGATTGACCTTCAACGAAAACCAATCTCTACATAATACATAAACTTGTTAGTATATAACACTAAAGAGGGGGTGGTGGGTGGGCTGTGTGAATGAACAGTTGACAACTTGAAGAACAACAGTTACAAGTAAGTAACCTGCTTTTTTTCTTCATGGTAACTGTGCAGCACACAGGTGGGTGAATAGCAAGCTTATTTTTTGAAAAGTCTGCTTTCCCAAAGACATGATTTGCTCAGGCATGGACATAGCCAGTGCTCCACACAAGTTGATGAGGCAGACCAGGTGACTGCTGAAGCAATCACTAGCAGGGGAGAAAGCTTCCATGACAGCAGGTGTAGCTCAGTTGTCACTGGGGTTTGAACAGTTTCTTTGCAATGGCTTGCAGAACGACGGAGAGACTCCAGTTAGGAATTAAAGAGTTGGTGCAGCAATGTTCTTGAGCCCCCAAAGAAATTGCTAAGATAAGGGTTAGAAATTGCCAAGTTAGAGAAAACCCACAAACCCTGGATCAGTACATGAAATTGCTGCCAGGTAGATGTGGATGTATGATGTTTTCAGCCTATGTTGAAACAGAGAATTGAGGGAAAGCATGACTTGCTTCACTGTGTATAGATCAGCACTGAAGCCTTCTTGATCAGGAGAAAGCCTTCCGTGTCACCATTTTTGTACTAAACACAATCCTTCGGGAAGGCTAGTAGTCCCCACATCTAGGGAAGGGTTAGGGTGAGACATAGAATATGCATGTCCAGGTGCAATACTTTCCCCCAGTCTCAAAAGATTAGGTCTGGTTTTGGTTGGTCATACATAGCAACTGGGCAAACCATGGCTATCTGGGCCACCATGGTGTTACGATGATGAACCTTGATGTTCTAAACTGCCCAGAGAGTTTTGGGGTGGTATAGAAATGATTTTAAAAACCCCTTCACTAGCACTCTCATGATAAGAGGAAAAAGGGAGAATAGACAAACCAATGTCCCTGTCCAGTTCAGAAGGAAAGCAATCTCCATTAGTTTGACATCAATCCCCGGAAAAATTCTGGAGCAAATTATTTAAAAAATTATCTGCAAGCATCTTGAAGAAAATGCAGTGATTAATAGAAGCCACCATGGATTTATCAAAAATAAATCCTGTCAGACTAATTTAATCTCATTTTTTGACTGGGTAACCTCCCAAATGGACAAAGGGAACACTGTGGACATAATCTACCTACACTTTAGCAAAGCTTTCAACATAGTGCCACACAACATTCTGATTAGCAAATTAGCAAAAACTGGACTAGATAGAAAAACAATTAGGTGGATCCAAAATTGGCCGCTAAATCAGTCACAAAGAGTGCTCATCAATGGCACCTTCTCTAATTGGATGGAGGTAACTAGTGAGGTGCCACAGGGTTCAGTCCCAGGCCCAGTGCTTTTCAATATTAATGATTTAGATGAGGAAGTACAAGAGAAGATAATCAAATTCACAGATGATACAAAACTGGGCAGAATAGCAAACACCCTAGAAGACAGGGGGATCTTGATAAACTTGAATTCTGGGCTGAAACCAACGGAAAGAAATTCAATAAGGACAAATGTCACATCCTCCACCTAGAAAAAGAAACCAACGGCATTGATACAAGATGGGGAATACATGGCTTAACAGAACTGAACAAGAAAAAAATCTTGGAGTAATTGTGGACAATAGGCTAAACATGGGCCAACAATGCAATGCAGCTGCCAAAAGGGCAAATGCAGAAGCATTACTTCCAAATAATGAGAAGTAGTAGTTCCTCTATACTCCTCACTAGTCGGACCTCACCTGCAATACGGTGTCCTGTTCTGAGCACCAGGATTTAAGAAAGATGCAGGTAAATTAGAAAGGGTCCAGCGAAGAACGACAAAAATGATCCAGGGCTTGGAAACACTGCCCTATGAGGAGAGACTGAGGGAACTGGACACATTTTCTGAGGGGTATCTTTAGTGCCATTTCGAGCAAGAGGAGAGAGATGATAAAAGGGCAGTATTAGGAAGAGGAGAGAGGTAATAAAAGGGCTGTATTAGGAAGAAGGTGCAGAATTAAAAGGAGACAGAAATAACAGAAGGAATTTCTGAGGAAAAGATGAAAGGTTTTTTGTGGGGGGGGGAGGCAAATGATGTAAGGGAAAAGATATCAGAAAGATGACAAGATACATGGCCAAGAAGTTGCAAGAGGAAGAAGATGAAGGAAAAAATGCAGCAAATCACAAGGAGAGAAAGAACTTCCTGAGGCATCACAATGGAAGTCAAAGAAGAACTAAGGGAAGGAACTCCTTCTATTGTACCAAATGCCAAGGGTGGGGAGGAGCTCCCATGAAAACTCTCTTGGCTTTGAAAACTTCCCAGCAACAGGTCCATGCAGGCACAGAGCCCATAAGCATGATGCAAAGAGTCCACGTAGACAAAATCTGTACACAGTCAGCTTATACATATGAAGGTTCAAAAAGCTTGTAATAAATCTCCCATGCCTGATTACTCAGTCAATGACATCTAACTGGGAAACCTTCATCAACTTGAGGGCAGCAAGGTCTGGGGCCAGTGACAGGAAAAGCCAAAACCCAGGTAAGAGCTGGCAATGGACAGTCACCTCACTTACAAAGACACACAGTACTATGTCAACTCAAACTGCAGACTCCCAAAACATACAAAGCATTCACCAATGACCTGGGCAGCAGAGGAAAGAAACTGGGAAGGATAGATCTATACCTTTACACCCTGCAATTTTCACTCCCTGATCCCCAGTCTGAGTTGGAGAACACAGTAAACTGGCAATTCAGGAACAGGGAGCACCTGGGGTGCAGCTGCCAGGATGATTGCTCTAGATCTTTCACTTGTGATAAAGGATATAGAGGACAGAAAGCTGGAGGAATTAGCTGCCCAGATATTCTACCTGAACATGCTTCCTTTTGCACTTTTCTCACAGAGCTCCTGAAAAGCACTGCAGGTATCCTGCCTCTTTGTCAAAGACAGGAAGGCAACTATAAGAATGATAGGGGCCCCAACCACCCAGGAAATGGCCCTGCTTCTACAGTCTCTGGAGTTCCCACACATGCCACAATGACATACACAGAAGAATGCCATTTGTTTTCAGAAGCATTAATGCATTTTTATTATAGCCCAGTGTGAAACTTTTCTAGTGAATTTTGGTTCAGGGTGTGACACAAAATAAATGTAAGTTTTTATAACTTAAGTTGATATGATGATCAACTTTCATTCATTCTTGTCCATTAACAAAAAATGAGAACTGTGTAGAACATACTTGTCATCAGCAAGAAAGCCTGTCAACTGGAGTACCTCCCATAGCCTTGCAAATGTTCTTAAATATTTACCTCTGATTTTTAAGGCAGGGATTAGGGTTGCAAGGATCCTTGGATATACAGGATCCAAATTCAAACTGATTGTCCTCCAGCCCAACACAACGTGCTATACATGCACTTGGATAGGTGCGTCCATTCTGCCCACAAACTGGAACAAACTGATCAGCACAATTACATGGCAGTCCTGAAAAGAGTTAAACCTTTGTTAGGATCTTGCAGATTCAAAAGTGGCTAGGATTTTGAGGTTAATATCCCTAAAGCAAGTCTGAAAAGAATGGCCACAATTCAGCACATAGCTTAAGCCTAGTGAAATCAAAGAGTTTAAAAACACTTAACTGTGTGTTGGAAGCATGGCCCTTATTTAGGAATATGGTGCAATAGGTTCCTAAACTACTTATACTTCATTTCTACTTAGAGTTACGGATTTTGCTTTTTGCATTTAGCTATGTTATGAATGCTATATGTAATCTAAGGCAAGCCAATCTATTTCTTCAACATTATTTTTCATTTTCATTTCATATATTGCATTTGTATGGCACTTCATAGCCCATAGGGCTCTCTGAGTGGCTTACAATAGAGCAAGAAAACACATATTCAATACAAATACAATAACATAATCAAGCAAGTACAAAACACAATATTAACTATAAGTAATACAAATCAAAACAAAAACATCAGACAACCCACTGATATTCAAGAAAAAACAAGCTAGAGGAGATACTCCACGAATCTTACATTACTCTTACTGCACCTCTTAAGAACAAAATCTAACATTGCTTATGACTTGAAAATGGTACCTGTAAACATGTGACGTTCATCATCTGAGCTGTATTCATTTAAACACTGACGAGCAGAGCATATCAAATTCCCAGCAAAACAAGAACAGACATTGCAATCTATAGTAAAAGATGTTCCATGACCTTCAAATAAAAACAAAGAGATGCATATGTATTTCAAATGCAACTATGCATATGTCACTGCTATGAAAAACTAGACCTTGACAAATAAAACAACATTTTGTTATGTTAGTTAGCTTGGTCGTGCCTGCCAAAAAAGGAACAAATACAGATTTAAAGATTTATCTGCTTCTTTCCACTTGGGAAGAGATCTCTTTAACAATCTTTATCTGCACTCATTTTAGACAACTTAATCTGTTTTCATTTTTCATCTAGATGAAAAACTATCATATTATCAATACTTTCTGTCAAAAAAAAGTAGATGGAACTTATTTTTCTTTTTAAGAGAATTAAATGAAGAAATATCTCTATCCATACAAGCCTACTTAGACCCTAAGATCTGCATCAGAGGTCCAGCTTTGAGAGCTGCCCTTAAAGGATGCTAAGGTGGCAGCTACACAGCTGTGGTGCCCCATCTGTGGAATCAGCTCCCCAGAGTTGTGCACCAAAAGCCTTCTTTGTATACATTCCAGTGCAAGACTTTATTTTCAGAGTGTTTTAATTGTTGACAGTTTTAATTCTAATATAATTTTAGCTTGTTAGCATAGTTGATGCACTTTTATATTTTAATTATTTATAAGATGCTGTCCACTCTGTTACTGTATGTCAAAATGTTTGGTACTTGTGTTTTTGGAATGGATGTTTTTATTGGTATTGTTGTTTTATTACTGATGTTTTATTAATGAATTTGTTTATATGTTTGTTTTTATCTTTTGTTGATAGTTTTTAATTGTGTAAACCATTCAGAGAGCCATGTGAATATTGTGACAGTCTATAAAAACATGTGGTGTAGTGGTTAAGAGCCTGGGACTGGGACTCAGAGGATCTGGGTTCTAGTCCCCACTCAGCCATGGAGCCAACTGGGTGACTTTGGGCCTGTCACAGACTCTCAGCCCAACCTACCTCACAGGGTTGTTGTTGTGGGGGTAAAATGGAGGAGGAGAATGATGTAAGCTGCCTTGAGCCCCTTTTAAGAAAAAGGCAGGATATAAATCCAAAAATAAATAAATAAATAAAATAAGTTACGTTGTTTGCTAGAGGAGGCTCCATCAAGAACTTGTCTTCAAATCTGCAGGAATGTAAAATCTACAATACATCCTTAGAAGGCAACTTTTCCCACACAAACACCTAGTTCTGTGACTTTTCAGAACTTAACCTGTTACTTACTTTTTCTTTGGCCTCCAACAATACATGACTTTTGGAGGTCAACACAGTGCATTTCCATACAGTTTTCTAAGAGTCCACTCTGGCCGCATGTGCAAATTTTATAACAACCTACATCTGTAGATGATGGAACCTGGATGAGTGTACCTTGGCGGACAATAAAATCTGAAGCTTCGCCCAACTTGCAGCCTATAAAAAACAAGGCAAATGTTACTGAATAAGAGGTAAATTCCATTCCATTCCATTCATAGGATTTTTATCTTGCTCCTTAGCCAAAAAGGTTCCTGGGACAGCTTAAAAATAATCAGTAAAAGAAGATGCCCACATGTTTGCAATCTAAAAGAAACCTTACACAAGGAAAAAGGATCAGGAAAGGTAGAGCAGGAGGAAACAAGGTCTTTCAGCAGGCTTGGCAAAATGACCCTGCTTCCCCCTTCTTTTCTCTCAGTACAGCTTGCTGGAATGGTTGCTGGTTGCAACAGTTCAGGGATGAGGAGGAATCATGAAGGAGGCACTTCAACAAAGCTGGTGAAAAAGTCCCCCTTTCCATCCTACATATTTATTATAAGGGTGACATATTTACAAAGTTACTTCTGGGTGCTGTTCATCAATCAGCTACTGTAGTTTTGAAAGACTGACAGAAACTAGATACAGCCCTTTTTATGTAGCAAGGTGTGTCCACTGTAAATATTCTCCTTTGAATTCCTACAAGCATTTTAGAGAACTGTAAAAATAATTGAGATGACTTACCCTGCACACAAAAATAAGGAAGACAGGGTTCCCCAGGTTGACAACCCTTTCTGTTTACTTCACACAACTGATTGGCAGCACAAGGATTTGGGTTGCAGGGGTGTGTAACATCCTCCACAATGTTACCTAAAGTACTTGGACCTGCAAAACAACCAAGAATACATAGACAGTGCTTCAGAACTCACTGGTGAGTTTTATTTCTTTGAGTCAGCTTGCCATTTCCATTTAGAAAGCAGAGTTGTATACATTTGTTACTGTAGAACTAAGGCTGCATGAAAAGTTTGAGTAACAAAATTTCCAAGATAAACTGGGCTAAGTTTTAGGAAATGAAAGGGACAGGTTTGAAATCATGTACCATTTTTTTGTTTTAATTCAGTTCAGCTGCTCATATTTGGTGGTGGTGATGGTGGTACAAACAGCAGTAGAATGACTGCCATTTTCCTCTACAATACTATAATATCATGTAGAAGGGGTTTTGGGAAAAAAACAGAAACCTCTACTGGCAGCCACAATTTCTTTATCCAGCATCCCGCCCCCTAAATCATCAAAATAACTTCACCATGGGGCCCCACTCCATCCCATGCAGTCACAAACTTAGGGTTGTTTTTAGAATTGTCCGAGAATTGTCAATTTCCTTGTAAGTCATGTACTTTAGTTGAAACATATAAGGAAAGTGACCAGGCAAGACTACAAATATCAGACAACCATAAGGTACATTTGTGAAAAACAATAAGTAGCTGAAAAAACAACTGCACATCCACACTTTTGATGCTCCAAAACTAAAAATAAAAAAGCTGGAGAATAAAATGGATACTTATGGGAGTGGGGAAGGGGCTGGGACAAGGGAACAAGATGGATTCTACTACAAAGTGCCCTGAGATATGTGCCAGAGCTGGCTAAAGGACCAAGGGGAGATCAACCCATGGTAAGTCCAATCATCTGTCAGGCATGCAGAACAGCCCAAACTATGTAACTTAATTACAAGGCTGATGAACTCATCCAGTGCAAGCCTACCCATTGCCTCCATTATACTGAAACAGTATGATTATGCTGCTATTTGACTAGAAGGGGATTATTAATTTGATGGGAGAAGGAAAGGGGGGTTACTAATTTAAAGCTTAATTTTAAAAAATGTTAAGTCAAGGTGTTAAAACAGAGCCAATCTCATTTCACACAACTCAAGCTTATATATACTTGGAGATTAAGTCAAGACCAAACAAAAGAGATAAGTCAGGAGGTAGGACTACAGGTGATGGGACAATCCAAGGAACAGTAAGGTCATTTAAATGGTATCTGATTCTTCCCTCTTACTCATCCTTGGCTGCCACACCACTGTTTGGTGCAGAGGAGAGGACACTTTCTCTTAGTAACAACAGAGCAGGCTCCTAGACTAACTGAAAACATCCAACTGGGGAGTATCTATTTCCTGAGAAGGTATTTCTATCACCCCAGATGCAAGCTTCAATTTGTCCCCAGGAGGTGACCACAAAAGGAAAGACATTTTGGGGAAAGGGAAGTTCTACTGAAGGAGAGACTGTGAGAGAAGGCCATGCTAAACAGCTGTGTGATGAAAGGAGAACATAGGAGATGAAGATTGTGATTAGTTCAGTGAAAATAGTTGGTGTTAATGATCCCGATCCTCTTGAAAGGGAGGGAGGAATAAGCTTATTGACTGTTTGAAAGCTCTAATTATTGATGGAGTGGCTATACCAAATTTGTTGCCTGGGTGGCACCATTTTATTTAATTTACTCACTCTCTTCAGCCTTCTTGTTCATAGTTGGATTTTAAAATCATTTTCCTGGGAAGTAGTTCTAGCATGCAGCGAGGAAGCCTGATCAGACCCCTGCCAGTGCGGTTACAAATAAGGGGAAGTATGAGGAAGTGACTGATGAGCCAGATAAGGAGAAAAGCTATTAGACATTCCCTCTTCTGCTTTCTCCTTCATCATGAAGAACCATGGTAGTGTATTAGCTGGTCTGTGGTGTACTGGTGGTGTTGTTACAATGCCAGATCAGCTTACTTCTCTTCATCCATAATTTAATTGTGGATTAGGAGACTGTCTCGCTATGTATAACCAAGACTTGGGTTAGGAAGTTGGGTCTTCCAGATGTGCCTGGGAATTCAGTTCTGCATCAGGACAGACTGGAAGAACCAAGAGGGGGGACTGATGTTGTCTACAGCAATTTTCTTTGTTTCTTCAGGCTTGCTGTAACTTTTGAGTACCAATCTGACATGTATGTTTTGGGGTCCTCCAAAGTCCCATCTTGTTCTTTCCTTTTCAACACTGTGTACTGAGTATGTATGTATGCTGATGACATATAGCAATTCTTTTCATCCCATTCAGGTGAGGTAGTGTAAGTGCTAAACCAGTGCAAGGTTACAATAATGGACTTGTGGGGGTGGGCAATAAACTGAAGCTCAATACATTAATTTCAGCAGCTTATTCAGGGTATAATTTAGCAAAAAAGTAAATATAAAGGAAATAAATTATCTGCTGCATCAGATGCATGCCCATTTCAATGTGTGGTAGCATTTGGTGAAAATATTTAGCTTACTTTGAAGCTATTCATTTCTAGTGTCTTCCTACATGTTTCTGTTTCAATGCCACTTATTTTTGTGACATCTTCCCCCCCCCCTCCCCAGAGTTATCCCAGCCAACTATGGATCATGATGATGGCAATATGATACATATAGTGCCTGGAATAACTTATTCAGGCACTCCCTTTGATTTTCCTAATTTTGTTCTGTTATAACCTGGAATTGAAATGGATTTAATTAGCTTTATTATCACTTGATGAACAGAAGATACCCAACACTGTAAAGGTATAAAATATTTTTCTTATGGCACTAAAGTTAAGTAAACCAAAACAAACTTGGACTTGCTGGTTGCATGTGCAATCACACGCTTTGCTGCGACATGCTAAACTAAGCTGTGGTGCAACCTACTGCCTCCATTAGTCCAACAGAGTAAGTTGTTGGAGTCCACCTGTGTGCAATTCCAGTGCCACATGGTCTCAGATTAAACACCCCAGAGTTTCTGGAGGCCTCAGAGTTTGTTGGAGACCATATGTAAAGAAGAGCATCAAGAAGACCAAAGAGCTATCAAAACAACTCCAGGATAAAGTTGTGCAGATGCACAGATCAGGGGTGGGTTATTAAAACAAATTCCAAACTATGAACATTCCCTGGAGCACTGTTAAATCAATTATTATAGAATGAAAAGAATATGGCTTAACAATGACTCTGCTTAGGCCATCCACCAAAACCCAGTGATTGGGTGAGGAGGGCATTAGTTAGAAAAGCAACCAAGAGGCCAATGGTGACTCTGAATGAGCTGGAGAGATGTGCAGCTGAGGCAAGATAAATAATCCATAGGACAACTATCATCCAGATGCTCAACAAAGCAGGGCTTTATGGAAGAATGGCAAGAAGAAAGCCATTGCTGAAACAAACCTATATCAAACCCTGTTTGAAGTTTGTGAAAAAGCACATGGGAGATACAGCAAACCTACTGAAAAAGATTTTCTGACCTGATGAAAATAAAATTGATCCTTTTGGCCTTGTGCAATGCAAAGTTAACAGTGCTCATTGTCCTGAGAATGTCACACCCACTATGAAGCACTGTGGTGGCAACATCATGACGTGGGGATGCTTTTATGTCACCAGGGACTGGGAAACTGTTAAGGATTGAAGGTAAGTTGGATGGAGTCAAATAAAGAACAATTCCAGAGGAAAATCCATTTCAGTTTGCAAGGGACCTGGGACTGAGGCGGAAGTTCACCTTCCTGCAGGATTTTGATTCTCAAACTCAGCCAAAGTAACACTGGAGTGGTTTAAAAACAAGAACTTGAATAACTTAGAAAAGCCCAATTAAAGTCCAGACCTCAGTTTGAATGAGAATCTTTCCCATGACTTGAAATTTGCCATTTTTCAATGGTCCTCAAACATCCTGACAGAGCAGAAGCAGATTTGCCAGGAAGAACAGGCAAACATTGCAGGATTTAGATGCCCAAAGCTGACAGAGGCTTGCCCAAGGAAACTCCCAGTTGTAACTGCTGACAAAGATTCATCTCTCAAGCATTAATGCAGGGGTGGGGGGAAAATATTTAAGCAACCAATGAGTTCCAGTTTGTTTTTGCACCTTCACAATATTAAATATCTTGTTATCATCAACTGGTAACAATGCCGATTAAATCCATTTGAATTCAAATTACAACACAACAACATGTGAAACAGTCAAAGGCAGTAAATAGTTCTGTGAGCTCCTGTAGCTAAGCAGATCTGATGAAAATCTGATTGTATATGTGATACTAGCCAGTAAGGGATATAATATTATAAACATGATGCTATGCAGCCAATTGGATCTGACTATTTGCTGACATTTGAGAGTGGATGTAGCTTATTCACAGCAAGGTCAGTGCTTCCTTAATAGGTAAAACACTTCTGTCTGCTTTCAAAGGAAGCTCTACTAAAACTGGCTGAAACAGAAGACAGTTTTGAATGCTAGTAATAAAAGGGCTATAAAGAATCTTTCCCCTTACATATCACTTCAGCAATACAAATAAACTGCTTTTTAGTAATAAGCAGAAATTTGATTTGAACTGCAACTTTGATTCACAAGGCTAATTCTCATTACTTACGAATATATGTGTTTAAGGGTATGCAAGTCTCCAAGTCATCTGTTGGAGACAAAAGTTCACAAATGCTTTCAGCCATATGCCCTTCAGGAAACTTGCTTAAGTCTCCACATTTCTTGAGAATTTCCACACAGTCTGACCTGGAGGAAAATAAAATTTGCATCTCATCATATTGCTGAACAATACTTAGAGATAAAAAGCCAAATACATTGACCTAAAAGCATAATTTCTACCACACACACAACCCTATGGACAGATACTCATTATATAACAATAAGACTTGGTTTGCACAACATGAGAACCCATTATAGGCAGCTGGCAATGATTGTTGTGTCATCTTGGACTGGTTTCTACAGGGTGGCTTAATTTTCGGGAGCAAGCCCCCCATGGCTTATTATATTCACATAGGGTTCATGTGTACTCTGAACCTGAGAGCAATTTTACTGTGGGTTTGGCAATATGGCATCTTGGCAAGAGTCACAAAACCCCCTACTGTCCTTCACAATCTCACTCCTGCTGCATCCAGCCTCCTTCTCCACTGACCGTCCCTCCACCAAAGTCCAAATAGCACTCCGGAGGGGCTATCACTTGCTGCCACTTTTTCTTTTAATTTTTGAATCTAGAAAACTTAGCAAATGTTGCTATTGTGCTATTATTTTTGTTGGTCTTTTGGCGGTGCCTTGCCAACATCCTTGTAGGTTTCAGCTGTCAATGGGAGTAAAGTGCAGTAGGTAACATACAAGGAAAATGAGAAGGCAAGACTTGTATATAGGCAAATTTGTATACACTTGCCATGGATTGTGGGAAAGTAATATTAAGAGAGAGGAAAAGGGGAACAAGATGGTATCAAGTTGAGAAAGTTCCTGCTACCAGATTTCTAAACTGTTAGAAATATTTGTGCAAATTTAAATGCCAGAAGTATATAGAGGGCCAACTGGTACAAATTTAGAGGCTTGGCAGTAAAAGGATCGTTTTGCACAATTTAAGTAACTGCTCTGAAAGCTGAGGAGCCAATATAATTCCTTTTTGGACTTGCTGAAGACTCAGAGGAGTGTTGAATAGAAGGACAGTGACATATTAGTTCAACACTTAAAAGAGAGCCTATTACCATGCTAAATGGGAAAGCTTTGGCTGTTGGGCAGTATAGAAATTAAATAAATAAATATTGGCCCCTCTTCTCCTACTTCTCCCGCTTCTTCCTTTCTCTTAGTATTCTTGCTCCTTGACATGTACACAAATTTGCCTATATACAATCTTGTCTTGTCAATTTCCTTGTATGTTCCCTACTGCACTTTGAGTGACATTAACAAGAACACCTACAAGAAAAGAAAACACATATTGGACACCTGAAAGTACACTTGTGAAAGATGTTCAAAAATAAACTGACATGTGAACACAGTCTAGGGGTGCCATGCATATTATTAATCCTAATAATGGTACTATACATTTGTACAATATAGTATGATCTTTTATCTGGCCTTTATTATTTCATAAGTATGTTTGCAAGCTCCCCAAATTAATGAATTTGCTAGCTCGGCTGGGACAATATCACAACACACTAAGCATCTTGGGATTCTGCAACCAATAGTTACAAGCTATAGAACATAATTAGTGAACTATGCCATACCACTTTTATTTGAATGTGGAGTCTCACCAAACCTATGATCATGAGGCCAGGGAAATCCTACTTTTCCTATACTTAGTAGGACCGGGCATTCACAAGGATGTAATGTGTTGAGATTTCTCCAACTTGACACAGCTCCTTATTTCAGGATCTTCTGCAGTCCCTGACCTAATCCAGCAAGACAAGCTGAGGGAAAAACATTCACTGAGCAAAAGCCCATCCAGCCTCTTTTTTCATATACTGCAAGGCATCTCTTTAATCCATGTGACTGTCTACAGCCATATTCCTACCCACAGTCAAATAAGCCATGTGAAAATGCATGAAACATAATGGACATTCAGAGGATTAGTTTCCCAGTTTCCCCTTCAACTATGTTTCTTTGGGGCTGTTGCAGACTGCACAATTCTTTCAACAAAGGCTACACAGCTCCTTGTGGTGCTGGCCACTCCATAACTCCTCTAAATAAATAACATAAAAATGTTATGCAGCTCTGATGCTCAGGTAATGGACCCACCAACTGTTTGTCAATGAAGTTCAAATTGTAGTTTCTGATTCTGCTATTGACTGTGATTTGTCAGTTCAGACACCACACCATAATATAGTTAATTTCTCAACCACAAGGTCTGGCATGATGAAATTGATACTAAGAGGATTTTCAGCTCAGCTTTTGGATCAAATAGACATGCAAATATTTTCGATACTAGAAAACAGGAGGCAATGCAATACGGTTACATTATTGCTTCTTTCATTATTTAAATAAGATGTTTTAGTAGATTACAAATTAATATTTTCTTTCTACATGCATTTTACACATAGAAAAGCTACTACAGTTGAAAATTAAACAATTGCTTACTTGCAAATAATACTTCCTCTAGATTTACTGTGACAAGGTTTAATCTGCAGTGAACAAGCAATTGCCTTCCACATTTCTGGTTGGCATGTTTTAATATCAAGAACAGGAATATTTATAAATGGCATCTTGATGCTTCCCTTCTCCCAAAGTTTTATGTCATTCATAGCTCCTTGATCTGATTGGGCATTACAGCTCCTGAAGAGTTCAGTTGGCCTTCAAGGGAAAATGCGATATGGGATTATACAGAAGGGATGAAAAACTGTTTTTGAATGTAACATTGATATCTGTACATTTATAGATATATTATGCAAAACAGAGCAAAACATTCTGTGAAATGAGTTACAAGAATGAAACTATTGTAATGCTAACAATTTTTAGAAAAGAGCACCGAATCACATTAGATTCAATAATACAAATGTATTGGTGAAGGCTGAGAATCAAAACTAAGAATATCTACTTCAGAACTATCTGAGCAGGAACACAGACAGTTATTGAGGAGGCTGTACTAACTAGAAGTTTAATACAAAAAAAAGAAAAAATTAAGTATGAAAGAAATATTCAATAGAAATAATTAATTCCAATAAAATAGACATAAAATTCAACTCAAGGATAAGCACAGTGATACTCCTCAAAGTTGAAAAGGAACTAAGGTTGAAAAGGAACTAAGCAGGAAGACTGGAAAACACTCCCTTTGAGCATGCATGCTAGGGGAGGGCAGGTGGGCTCTGAAACTTCTCAATTCTAGAAAATTCCAAGAGAAGCTCTGCACAGGTGCAGGGCACATACTGTATGTTTGATATAGAGATGGCACAACAAAGAAACTGATTGTAAAGAAAGGAGGAAATTATTGACAAAGGGTGGAATATAGTTAGAAGATCAACATAATAAATACATTAAATAAATGCACAATAAAACATAAGAATATAAAAACATATTTATGCACAATAAAAACATAAGAGTTCTTCGCGGGCCCTGTCCTTGCCCCTCCCCCGCCGGCGTGGGTGGCAGCCCTCGCCGGATTGGGGGCGGGACACAGGGAGGGCCGCAGGATTAACTTGCCGGCCATGGCTCAGTCGGAGCCGGGACAGACCGTGCACCACCACTGTAGACACTGACCCACTCGCTGACGACGACGCTGCCCCGATGGACAGATGGCGACCACCGCGGGACCGGGATGCTGCCAGCCTGCAGGCCCTCCATCCTGCCGGCGAGTTATCCGCAGGCCCTGCCCTTGCCCCTCCCCCGCCAGCGTGGGTGGCAGCTGCACCGGCTTGGGGGCGGGGCACAGGGAGGGGCTGTGGGATTAACTCGCCGACCGTGGCCCAAGGGCGACGGCCCAAGGGCGTTGCCGCCGTTTGGGGCCGTGAAGGGGCTGGGTTGGCCAGGTACTCTACGCGCGTGCGTGCGTGTTTTGTAATTGGGTGGGTTGGAGGGTTTTAATTGTATTTTAATCGTATTTTATTGGGCTGTTTCAATGGATTCACATCTGGCTGCTACTACGGGGTTGCCTGGGGAACGCGTGGGCGCCACCATTGGGGTGGTGTTGGGCAATGGTCGATATAGCGTTGGGGTTTTAACATGTCAGCATAGAAGGAGGGACAGAAAGCTGACACCAGTTCCCCCTTCTGGTTATTCCCCCAACTGGAAGGTTCTGGGTATGCTTATAAACTGCCCATCGGGCCTGACGGTGCTGCTGCTTAATGCCAGGTCGGTCCATAACAAAATATCCCTCAACCACGAGTTAACTGTAGATGAGGGGGCCGACCTGGCTTGCATTATAGAAACCTGGGCGGGAGAGGAGAGGGATGTATCCCTCTCTCAACTGTGCCCGCCCGGGTATCTGGCCCAGCACCAGTCATGCCCGGAGGGGAGGGGAGGGGGGTCGCTTTAATCTATCAAGCTTCTATTTCCCTTGTGGGGCTTCCTGTTCTCTGAAGGTCTAGAGTGCTTATACCTGGTGTTGGGCGACCAAGACGACTGGGGATTCTGCACCCTTCTGCCCATCTGCCCATACACCCTTCTGCCCATCAAACTCTCTGCCTGAGTTGACGGAGATAGTTTCGGACCTGGTGTTGAAGACCCCCAGGATGTTGGTCCTGGGGGATTTCAATCTCCATGCCGAGACTGTTCTGACCGAAGCGGCTCAGGACTTCATGGCCTCCATGACGGCCATGGGGCTGTCTCAACATGTCATAGGCCCGACCCATTAACGTGGACACACGCTGGACCTGGTTTTCTCGACGGGGCAGGAAGAGGGTGATCTGAGAGTGAGGAATTTGTGTCTGACTCCCTTGTCATGGTCAGATCACTGTAAGGGGTGGACCCTATTGTGTTGGTCTGCCCTCACAGCCGGATGGCTCTGGATGGATTCCTGAAGGCTCTGGGGTATTTTCCGGTTGATAAAGCTGGCGCTCCTGTTGATGCTCTGGTTGAACTGTGGAATGAACTGTGGAATGGGGAAATGGTCAGAGCGATTGACACAATCACCCCTAAGCGTCCTCTCCTGCCAAGCAGAGCCCGTTCATCCCCATGGTACACATCTGAACTACAGGCGATGAAGCGGGTTGGGAGACGTCTAAAGCGAAGGTGGAGGAAATCACGGGATGAATCTGACCGGACATGCCTATGAGTTCATTATCGAGCCTATGCTGTGGCGGTGAGGGCGGCGAAGAAGAAATTCTTCTCCACTACCATTGCTTCCTTACAGTGCTGTCCAGCAGAAGTCTTTCAAGTGGTACATGGGCTGATACATCTAGGCCCTAAGAAAGATCCTGTACCACCTTCGATGGCCCGCTGTGACGACTTTGCCCAGCACTTTAAGGAGAAAATTGCTCAGATTTGTCACGAGCTGGACTCCACAAGTGATTCAGATCCTTTAGGGGAGGTGCCAATGACTCCGTCTGGTCAGATATTAATGGATGCATTTCAGTTATTGCGGCCTGATGATGTGGACAAGGTGCTTGGACAAGTATGTCCCACCACCTGCTTCCTTGACCCTTGCCCATCGTGGCTGCTGACCAAAGCCGAACACAGGATTGGTGCCTGGATCCTGGAGGTCATTAACGCCTCTCTGAGGGACAGCCAGGTACCTGCCCCTTTAAAGGAGGTGGTAATCAGGCCTTTCCTAAAGAAGGCGTCCCTGGATCCAGAGAAGGCTGCCAATTATAGACCGGTGGCCAACATCCCATTTTTGGGCAAGGTGTTGGAACGGGTGGTGGCAGGACAACTCCAACCACTCTTGGATGAAAATGATTATCTAGACCCATTTCAGTCCACCTTCAGACCCGGGTATGGTACTGTATCTGCCTTGGTCACACTGTATGATGATCTGTGCAGGGAGAGAGATAGGGGGAATGCGTCCCTGTTGGTCCTCCTGGACCTCTCAGCAGCTTTCGATACCATCGACCATGGTATCCTTCTGGGTAGGCTGGCGGGGGGATTGGGAGTAGGAGGCACTGCTTGGCAGTGGTTCCGCTCCTACCTCGACGGCCAATTCCAGAAGGTGGTGCTGGGGGACCTTGGCTCTGCGCCATGGCATTTATGCCATGGAGTACTGCAGGGTTCCATTTTGTCCCCCTTGCTATTTAATATCTACATGAAACCGCTGGGAGAGGTCATCAGGAGGTTTGGGCTGCAGAATCATCAGTATGTTGATGACACCCAGTTCTACCTCTCTTTTTCAACCGATCCAGGTGAGGCAGTGGCTATACTGAACCAGTGCCTGGCCGAGGTAATGGGCTAGATGAGGGCCAATAAACTGAAACTTAATCCAGACAAGACAGAGGTCCTGTTGGTGAGTGGATCGAGCTCCTGGGTAGGTGACTTGGACCTTGCTCTGAATGAGGTTGCACTCCCTCTAAAGGACAGGGACCGCAGCTAGGAAGGGCTCCTCAACTCAGAGCTGTCCCTGGAAGCTCAAGTGACTGCGGTGGCAAGGAACGCTTTCCTTCAGCTTCGGTTAATCCATCAGCTGCGTCCCTACCTGGAGGACGATTGCCTAGCAACAGTGACACATGCATTGGTTACTTCCCAGTTGGATTTCTGTAACGCGCTCTACGTGAGGCTGCCCTTGAAGACAGTCCGGATACTTCAGATGGTGCAAAATAGAGCAGCCAGGTTGCTGACAGGGACTGGGTGTTACTCTCAAATAACCCCAGTCCTCTATCAACTTCACTGGCTTCCCATTGAAGTCTGGGCTCAATTCAAGGTGCTGGTTATTACCTATAAAAGCCCTTAACGGCTTGGGACCTGGATACCTAAAGGAACTCCTTCTTCCATATTTGCCCTCCTGCCCCCCGAGATCGGCAGCAGAGGTCCTCCTCTGGGAACCCTCCATGAAAGATATTAGGAGGCAAAGTACCCAGAGTAGGGCTTTCTCTGCAGTGGCACCCCGCCTATGGAATGCGCTCCCCAGAGAGGTCCGCCTGGCGCCGTTGTTATTTGTTTTTCGGCGCCAGGTTAAGACCTTTTTATTTCAGCAATATTTTAATAACTTTTAATATTGGTTTATATATGTTTTTAACTGCAGCCAGTGTGGATCTGTAATTCATTTGTGTTATGTTTTATATTATTTATGTAAGCCGTCCTGAGGCCTTCGCGACAGGATGGCATATAAATATTCTAAATAAATAAAATAAATAAAAATAAGAATAATCAGATAGAAAGGAAAAGGACAGAGCCAACATTAAACAAGTAGACAGCATGGCTTTCAAACACATATATTTGGCAAAGGGAGAAGATCAATATGCTTTATTATCTTGATGGCTAGTGGAAACACAGGATCAGAATGTTTTTTAAAAGTTTAATAATTCTAAGTATCATGTAATGTTTAGAAGTGAAGGATCAAGGGTTTTATTCAAAATACTAATGATTTACTTTAAGTCCACTGGGAAGAGACAACAATTTAAATAATGGGGTATCATTATACCAGAATAGAAGGGAATATAATCTGTCATTTAGTGAAGCATACATTATTAAGTGGTGTAATCTGCAATCTGAATAATTTTTATTTTTGTATTAATCTTGTTTTTATTTAGGTAAAAACAATTGCACTAATGTAACATAGTCCCTGCAAAACTAAAAGAAACATAATCAGAAATGATGGCATAATATGAAAAGCACATAAAGCATTATGCAAACATCATCACATTTTGATGTGTATGTGGAATTCTCAATCACAAGAAATATCACAGAATGCATAAAGAGTTAAGAGGCTCTGAAGCAGAACAACAACACCCAAGAAAGTTTTTCAGCATTGCTTTTAAACCACACTTGAGGGAAAAAGCCCTATAACTCCCACAAGCCCAAGGAAATGTATTGTTGCCCATTGCTAGTCACGAAGTCATGTCCCATTGCGACTCCATGGACAGCATTCCTCCAGGTCTTCCTGTCCTCCACCATCCCCGAGAGTTCACCTAAGCTCACGCCGAATGCTTCAGTGACTCCATCTAGCCACCTCATTCTCTGCCATCCCCTTCTTCTTTTGCCATCTATTGTTCCCAGCATTAGGCTCTTCTCCAGGGAGTCCTTCCTTCTCATTAGGTGGCCAAAGTATTTGAGTTTCATCTTCAGCCTAGTGCTTTTCCCTACTTTCTTCAATTTAAGCCTAAATTTTGCAACAAGAAACTCATGATCTGAGCCACAGTCAGCTCCTGGTCTAGTTTTTAGTGACTGTATAGAGCTTCTCCATCTTTGGCTGCAGAGCACATTGTCAATCTGATTTCTATACTGACCATCTGGCAATGTTCATGTGTAGAGTTGTCTCTTGGGTTGTTGGAAAAGAATGTTTGCTATGACCAGCATGTTCTCTTGACAATATTCTGCCAGCCCTTGCCCTGCTTCCTTTTGTACTCCAAGGCCAAACTTGCCTGTTATTCCAGTTATCTTCTGGCTTCCTACTTTAGCACTCCAATCCCCCATGATAATAAGGACATCATTTTTGGGTGTTAATTCTAGAAGGTGTTGTAGGCCTTCACAGAACCGGTCAACTTCAGCCTCTGCAGCATCAGTGGTTGGGGCACAGACTTGGACTACTGTGATGCTGAATCTTTTGCCTTGGATTTAAATTGAGATCATTCCATCATTTTGGAGATTGTATCCCAGTATTGCTTTTCCTACTCTTTTATTGACTATGAAGGCTACTCCATTTCTTCTGAGGGATTCTTGCCTGCAGTAGTATACCTGATGGTCATCTGAATTAAATTCACCCATTCCTGTCCATTTTAGTTCACTGATTCCTAAGATGTTGATGTTCAGTCTTGTCATGTCTTGTTTGACCTCGTCCAGCTTGCCTTGATTCATAGATCTTACATTCCAGATATATCTGCAACTGAGTGTCCTTTTGGCTTTGACCCATTCACTTCTTTATTCCTGGTGCTACTAGTACTTGCCCACTGCTTTTCCCCAGTAACACACTGGACACCTTCTGACCTGAGGGGCTCACTGTCTGGTGTCGTATCTTTTGCCTTTTGCTACTGTCCATTGGGTTTTCATGGCAAGGATACTGGTGGATTGCCATTTCCTTTTCCAGTGGATCACATTGTGCCAGAGCTCTCTGCTATGACCTGTCCATCATGGGTGGCCCTGCACGGCATAGCTCATAGCTTCATTGAGCTACACAAGCCCCTTCGCTACAAGGCAGTGATACATGAAGGGAAGGAAACATATTAGCTCCTATTAATTATACATTTCACTCAAAGACAATACATGGTGTGTAAAATATTGAGTACGCCTTTCCTACCTGTTATTAAAATTAGTGCAGTAAGTAAGATTTCTACATCCCAGCTGACAAGGTTCACGTACATCTGCTAAACAGGTCAACATGGAAACTTCGACTGGGTTATACTCACAAAAACGATCAAATTCTTGCCAGCTCTGCGTATTGCCCCAGCTGCTGCTATAAAGTTTAGTGCATAAATCTCTAGGGAGAAACATACAGAAAGTAATAATTATAATGGAATTTTTAAAAGTTTAGGTAACTGTATTTAGGACACAACTCATAAGATACAGTACCCAAAAGGCAGTTTTCCTATATTAAGAGAACATGTGCAGATTACAGAAGATGATTAATGAAGGAATGTGTGGAGCCTTTTAACACATGACGTGTGTGGAAAATCATGTACAAAAGTTGAAGAGGATTTAAAATATGGTTAGCCAAAAGGGGCTCTCAGGAATCTTTAACACACTTCAGAGTTCAGTTCCCTGAATACAGGAAGCCTTCTAAGTAAAAGTGCTTAGATATATACTATTTTCTTGTTCTATGAGGCAATACATAAATGAAAAATCCCGTTACAAATGTGTCCTAGGTTACTGAACGTAGATGATGGTAATTTGAATCTTGTTGCAGAAAGGAAGTCACTATGCACTGCAACCCGAACACCAGATCACAAGTTGGGAGAGGTTGAGAAGATGGAAGAATTAACACCCATATGATGTTTAATGGGTGGTATGCAGAATATTGGCAATTTTAATGTTAACTTGCAGGGGATAATTAACTTTACTAATGTTTTATATACCACATATAGCAATGTATAAGAGAACCCTTGAAACCAAAAATAGCAAAGCTAAAACTGGGGGTTGTCTAATATGCCTGACACATATAAACAGTTCAAAATACTGACCTCATCTTATACACGAGTCACCTTATATGTTGACATATACGAGTATTTTTCTGAAACATACTTCCTGGTTGCTTGTTTCACACATTATTACTATATATACTAGTGTAGAAGACAACACTTGAAATTGAAAATAGCAAGGCATAAGTTGGGGGTAATCTTATATGACCAACTTATATCAAACACTAGGAAAATAGTCCAAAATATCAACCTCACCTTATATGCAAGTTGCCTTATATACTGGCATATACAGAATTTATTTATTTAAAGTATTTATATGCTGTCCTGCTGCGAAAGCCTCAGGATGGCTCACATAGATAGAATACAATAAAATATAACATAGAATTCAGTTCCATAATAGAGAAGACATGGAATGTACTGTTTTACATTTTGTTTATCATAGATTTATAATTTTGATTTTAAACAATCTTTAAAAGGTGAATTTAGGAACTACAAATCAAGTTCTTTTACATATGCTTTCAACCTGTATGAAATAAGGAAAAGGATGTGTAATATCATTATCCTAAAAGAAATCTTCTATTTGATTTATGGATGGCTCACTTCACACAAGACCATGGGTAAGAGCCAAGGCATACTCTCCATGCACAACGCTCCATGTTCACCTGCACTATATATCCATCGACTCCAGGAAGGGACCAAATGAAAGAACTTTCTAACAGCGAAAGCTGCACAAGCAAAACAAGCATACAAATCTGTGAGAAATATTCATTTCAATATTAATAAATAGGACAGCAGATGTGAAGAGAGATTTTCCTTGATAAGAGCCCAGAGGAGATGGAAAAACAGGGAAATATACTGACCTACATGTAGAAGTATTTGCCTTGGAACAGCAGTGCAACTTAGCACCATCCATGCCTGTTGAAGGGGGAGGATGTAGAGTAACTCCAGGGTGAACTGATCTTGAGCTCTCCAAGAAACATTGCCAGAGAGGATCCTGGGGAAGGGGCATTGTTTTACAGCTTTCAATAAGTCCATCCACAATTTCAAGTTCTGTTTTCATTGACATCAAAATCCTTTTACAAGCTGTTTGGCAAGCATAATCTTCGGCTCTGTCACAGCAGTACAAACCTAAATAGCAAAGCAAACATACATGCTGTTACCAAAATGTATTTATGTAACACTATCAAATAGTGACATTAAACATATCATGCAATTAAATAAAATCAATAGAAACAATTGTAGAAAGCACCCTTGTATCAAGTAAGACCCCTGATCTATCTAGCTCTGTCCTGTCTCCACTGATTGGCAGCAGTCCTCAAGGGACTTTCCTGGCCCAACCTCAAGATACCAGGGACTGAATCTGGGACATAGGCATGCAAAGCCTGTGCTCTACCACTTAGTTACAAACCTTCCCCAGAGAAACATAGAAACAGAGTGAGTCAGAAGGGGCCTCCCGGGCCAACTAGTCTGACCCCTGGTTCCAGCCGGCTCCACTCACGACATGCCCACCATGTGCATGTCTAGTCTATCCTTGAACACCCTCACCGACAGGGCCCCAACCACCTCCTGTGGAAGCACATTCCATACCATCGGGGTCCTAACTGTCAGGAAGTACTTCCTGGCATCAAAATTGGACCTTGGTTTCCTGAGCTTGGCTCCAATGGAGCACGTCCTGCCCTTCTCTGCAGGGGAGAACAGGTCCCTACCCACCTCCATGTGACATCCCCTCACATACCTGTAAGTCGCCAACAGGTCCCCTCTGAGTCTCTTCTCCAAGCTGAAAAGGCCCACTTCCCTCAGTCTCGCCGCATATGCAAACCAGCCACCAACCTTGTGGCCCTATGCTGCACTACTCTAACCTGGCTATATCATGGACAGGAGTATTTATTTCCTATAACTTTAAAAGCAGATATATAAAATTGTATAGATTTTTAAAACTGCGATCCATAATAAAGCTTGCTTCTACAACAGAAAAAGTTACTATAGAAGTGGACAATGTGCTGTTTGACCAAAACTCTCAGCATAAGCATTGGAGAGGGATGACAGTAGCTGCAGTCCAACAAGAGAGCCACCAGTGGTCATCTCTGCTCTATTGTAGACTTCCATATATTCACTGTTGATAGTTTGTACGTTAAACTTTATTTTTTCCCCCTTACTGTCTTATTTTTTTACTTACTGTCTGTTGAATTTCTCATTGGATAGGATTGTGTGTAGTTGTTCACACAATGAATTAACTGTGGGCTAACAGAGGCACAGTAATTTTCAACAGCTTTTATTTGGGAAGGACCTGGAGATGAGTCTGTTCGAAAGATTGCTTGGCAATATTCCCTGCAGTTTGTGTGATGAACAGCGTAACTGCAACAAACTGATCCCACTGGCAAGGTGAGGAAAGAAACAGAGGCAAGACAATAATTAGTGGTGAAAGAGAAATCAAAGTAAGCCTATGTTTTATATAAAATGGAGTGGGCTAATTGTCATGGGTCAAAGGCTGCATGGAAATTTGATGGTCAGGGGCAGTCCGCACACAAGCACCACACCCACCTCATGAGCCATCAACCATCCTGATGCCCACACAAATATTACTACAGATCACTAAGGTGGTCAGTTTGCCCTCATTACAGTAATTCTACTCCAATATAACCCTTTCTCTTGTAGTGCTACAGATATTGGGCAGTACTCTGGAGCACACTTGAGAGAGTGCATGTGTCTTATGGGCCAAGTTTTACCACTCTCTCTCTATATATCCAGCTGCTTATAAAATTGATGAAAACATCCCAAAAAGGAGGTAAATTAAAGGAATAAAACAAGGAAACTGTTAATTAAGAAGTAAGATTTTAAAAGGTAAACTTACTTTCATTTCTGTTTATGCAACTAAAAAGGGCATTCTAAAAACAAAAACAAAAACCATCATCAAAGCGTTAGTAATTTAGAAAAAACTGAAGAACACCTAGTATGGTGAAGAACAGAACCTAAAAACATTGGACCAACCCACATATTAAATTGTATGAAGAGTTAAAGCACTGTACAATTAGCAATGAAGAACATTTCCTAAAAATCTTTTGTACATCCAAAGGCTATAGTTAAGATTTTTTATCTTCCCAGGGGACAAAACAACAGTCCTTGTCTGTGAAAGGCCTAGTTTTCTCTGACTGTAAATTTAAGAGCTATATTTACAACTTTTGGCAACTACCACTAAAGTAAGAAACAATGCAACAGAAATGATAGCGATAAATCAGAGAAAAGAGGCATACAGTTTTCCATGAGAAAATAAAAGGACTCTCTTGAGAACTTTTTTTTGGTTTTGCTACATGCAAAGAATATCTTGAAATCCAGTGCTGAAACCTGAGTAACCTAAAACTAAATTAAGCATTTCTCAGTATTTTCCTTGGGTTTCTATTTCTTCTCTGCACTGATTTTAAATTTTCTTGGTTTAGAATGTTAACAGCCAGCTTTATGCACACTAGATGGCTGAATAGGCTGCAGAAATCTTGAAAATTTTTAAAACTGTGGCTGAAAGACATTTCCAATCTAATTTTTCCTAGTTTTCCTTGTTCTTAAGCACTTGTGCAAGGTGGCTTGAAAACAGCCATAGAAATTCACGATTCAAAGTCATGCACTGAGTTTTCAAAACAATTGCCGTTCTTCAGGACTTTTATTCTCAACCTGACCATTTACACATTTGCAGTCATTTTTCCACCACTTCCCTGTTCAGGTTGTAAGAACCTAATAGAAAAGTAATATTAAAAAACTGTTGTTGCTGCATATTGTGCTCTATGATGCTGCCTCCTCATGCCTCCCCAATACCCCAACCATCCCAGTTTGGATGTGTTCCCTTTCTCCTGAATGAGTAAGGAGAAATATTATTAATGAAGTTAACTTAGCATATTAATATTAACTAATATTAGCTAGGACGTTTGGAGGCTATCAAAATGATGCATTCTTCTGACTTTGTACTTTGATTTTGCACATTTGACAGATGCCTTTATAGTGTGATAAGTGGCAAATTATGAATATTCTGTTGCTTTGAAAGCTATATTTTAAGCACTAGTCATTTGCCTTTCTATTCAAGCAATTTCTGTCAGCCAGGAATCAGAAAATTCCAAGATTTCAGGAAAAAAAACCCCATCAGCCAAATTTGGTTTTTAATGTAAAGATGGCACAAATTGCAAACTTTAAATCTTTGCTAAGAATGAAAGATAAGTCCATATGTTGTAGATCAAGTGCTCAGTTCAAAATGTCCAGCCTGTAGTGAAGATAATTAGGAAGTCTTAACCTTGCTGTGAACAGATTGCTATTTAGAAGAAGCACTAAATGTTTTTTTAATGGTTATACGACAATCTGAAAGTTCAGCTTCATCAGTCCATAATGTACACTCTTTAATACTCCAGTAGAATATTATAGCCCAGATTCAAAGAGCTTGTGTATATCTATATGAATTGTGATTTTCAACAGCTCCCCCTATAAAATGTCATTCTACATATTGCTTTTGCCATCAGACATTTTTTGTTATTTAAGATATATGAACCAATACCAATCTCCCTTCTCTGCTACAAGCCACTTCTATGGCAAAAAATTCTTGGGTGTTCCAAGATCCCTGGGCTGGAAAAAGTTTCCAACTCGGCTCCGGGACTCCAACCATGGATCTCCCCCCTCCCTCCCTCCCTCCCACAGCCAGCACAAGAAGAGCCATAACAGATATTTCTCCCAGGTCATAAGAGTGAACTTGCAGAAGGAGAAAATAAGGTGTTGCCGGGGGCGGGGGGGCATAGGAGACTGAGTAGTGCTCTTGCCTCCTTTCATCTCCAGCTGAAGAACTAGACCTAGACCGACTTGCATAAAGACTGACTCGCCACTCTTCCCGCTCTGCAAAGAATACCTGTAAGTGTGGAGGTTTATGGGCCTCTCCATTGAATTATACTCTGAATAAAATTGTTTATATCCCAATTCTAAAAGGTTCCCATTATTTTTCCTAATTTTTTGGATGCTCAGGATTTGACTCAAAATTCGTTATCAGTTTTACTTCAAATGTTCTCCCTATAACTTTCCAAATACATTGCCTGTTCTTACAGTTATCTGATTCAATTGCCTTCTGATACACCTACTGTCTCACAAACTATTTCTAATCCGAAGAAGAAAATATCTTGATCTGAAAAGTTGTTTTTCTGAAATGTTATATTTTTCTTAGCTTTTCCATTCTATTATTTACTAAAAGAGCATTTCCTCATTTTTGTGTTGATACCTATTAATTTCGATTATGCAATATTTGTAAATAACATAATTGAACAAAGTATTAATATGTTATTAAATTGCCCCTTCTTGTGTAATTTTGCAGACTATCCATATGACATTATGATCTTGCAGCCATCTTATGATTTTCCCATTTTGCCCTTATCTTTTCACATTAAGGAAAATCCATTAATGTTCTCTGGTGCACCATAGTACAGCAAAGAGCCAAAGGTGTGTCTCTGGGGCAACTTGCAGCTTTTCTGCAGGGGCCTGAATGTTGCTTTTACTGTTGTGTTTCTGAATGGCAAGACTGTGGCACTACACTGTGCATCATTTCCCTTCCTCTTAGTGTTATACAAACACAGCCATTTCCTCCTCAATTTTATTTTGAGGGTGAAGCACCTGCATACTTCTGGAGTTCTCTCTTTTCAAAATTGCACTTGGAAATGTTTGCCAAAACCGTCTTGTGCGATTCTTCCACCTCATTTAAAAATTAAAAAGGTTTGTACATGGATGAGTTGACTCACTTGCAAATGTCCACAGAAGAAGTAAGAACAAGAATGGAAATGGTGTGGAAAGGGAAAGGAAGAGGTAGCAAGGGCAAACAACAAAATGGGAGATCATGTTACGAGGGTGCAGGAAGAAACCTTTGCAGAGTGATTGATATGAAATTCTGCATTTAAAGAAAAAATGGCATATCATGACATGTGCCTGCAAGAAGACTATTGTGCAATCAGACCCTTGATGTTCTTTAGCTACAGTTTATTCTAAGTTCCCAGTAGGTGTCTTAACTTTACTAACAAGTTTCCATCTTGTAATAGAAAGGACCTAATAGTTGCTTCCTCATTTATTTCTAGCTCACTTTGAAAATCTATATAGCCCTCAAAATATTTATTACTAGATGCATAATTACAAAAAGCATATCATTACTTTTTGTTATAAGAACCAAACAGAAATAGTATTTTCATTAATAACATACCATGCATTTTAAAATTTAGAATCAACCTCCTTCTGTCTCCTTCCTCATCAAAGAGTTGTACAATTCTCCAGTTCTACCCTATCAATGAAAATTCTGTGATTACAAGACAATCTGGATGATTAATCTACTGTTTCTCCTCTAGCAATAGTCATACAAGGCCTACAATTTGACACAACAAGATTTCTAGGTTTCAGATCCACTTGCCTCTCAAAATCTTTATTTCAGTTATGGGATTTTTTTAGTAGACAGAAGGAGACATCAACTGTATTAAAAAAAGGGACAACACATGATCCAAGTTGTCCCATGGCAAATTATGTTTCTCCAACAGAGTAAAGCTCAGGGCACCAAGGTTCCATTTGGATGCCAAGAAGCATTTCCTGATAGTTAGGACCCTGAGGGTGTGGAATGGACTTCCACGAGAGATCATTGAGGCCCCATCAGTGCGGGTGTTCAAGGATAGGCTGGACGTGCACATGGTGGGCATGTCGTGAGCGGAGCCGGCTGGTGCCAGAGGTCAGACTAGATGGCCCGGGAGACCCCTTCTGACTCGCTGTTTCTATGTTCCTCTGAAAGGTGCTATTGCAAAATGGACTAAATTACATGCTTATGTTAAACACATAGCATACAGCTGATCCTCACCATTTTATTTACCTTAGTTTAAGTGGAGGGTTTTTACTTCTTTAGTTTCTGCGTGGGAAATCTGAGGTAAAAGTGGTTAGGTGGAAAGGTTTATACTTCCCCTGCCAGCAAATGGAGCTCCTGATACGGCCTCCCCCACAACACACACTTATACTAAAGTAAACAGAATGGTGAGGATACTCGTGAAGTCTTCAGCAAAATGATATATGACATAGCATGTAGATTAGTCTTAAGAGTGAATATGTATTTTAGTTATCTCTAAAGTCTGAAGTCTAAAGCAGGCCTGTAATCAGTTACATCACTGTGGCAAGAACAGCTTGCTTTCAGGTGCCTATGAAAGGGGGTTTATTCCCTTGCTAGCCATCGGCTCTGGCCAAAACATCGAAGAGAAATAACTTGAGACCTACTGGGTGAGATTCTTGCTATTTTCTAAAATTGAGCCCTCAAAGGAAATGCTGGGAATAGGCATCAACTCAGATAACAGAGCCTCACGGAGGGGGAGGCTTATCCCCCCCCCACACAGACTTTGAGTGGCGACAAATTTGGGGCAATTAACCGAGAAAGCACAACACTATAAATCTTGGAGAATTAAAGCTACGTTAACCTCTCCAAGGGCAAAGATTTAAAGCTTGAAACCTACTGTAAATCATTTGAAGAGAAAGTCCACAGTTTTGGTTTATTTTCACTTTCTCTTTTGGCATCATGGCAACCTGAACATTTCCAGTCATTGTTTAAGAGAGTCGAAGGCACTGGATACCTGCATGCCCCTCTGCTGCCACCTTGTGACGAATTTGTTTTATAAAAGATTATTTAAATAAAATTTTGAACATTAACCATGTAATTGCTGGATGATATACTTAGAGGTGCCTTTGAAGTACCAACTTCTCTTTCAATAATGAGAAAAACACATCCTGCACCTGCCCCACCAGGGGCAGCTGCATCTATAGCTAGTCCACACCAAGCAAAAACATTGGAAACAACACCTTCAACAATTTATGACAAACTAGAAAAGCTGACTTCAAACTGAAAGATGGGCTAAGC